TGGTGTGGATGGTATCCGGAGTTTTGCTGCGATGTGCGTTCGTGAAATTTGGCGGCTGGGATTAATCCGAACGATAATTCCTCAGTGCACTCCCAATAGTAAATGCGAAAGAAAATGCAAAGGGATGCAACATCTCTTCACAGCACTAGTGAATCGAGCCGATCGGTAAGGACTCGGTCGTTGACGATTCGAGCCGTTCTGCGCTGGATACGGTCAAGTGGAAGAAGCTGGCACTGGGGAGCCCCTGCCCAGAGATGGGAACAGTGTTCCATGTGAAGCCAAACCAGCGCCTTGTAAAGTTGCAGGCTTTGTGCCGGCATGAAATACTGTCTCGCTCTGCTGAGCACGCCAAGCCTTTTAGAGCCCAATTTGGCCTTCTCTTCTAAGTGTCCACGAAACTGCAAGTCACTCGATATGTTGACGCCGAGGATTCCGAAACTGGCTGAGGCTACAAGGGAAGTGCCTTCAAACTGAGGAGATATGACAAAGGGGTCATATCCTAATAGCATGCGAATAACCCCGTCAGCTGAATATAAGGCAGTTATTCCGATATTACAGACCAACACTTCGATTTTATTTATATTATATATAGTTAGATAGATTTTCTATATAAGATATTAGTGTTTATATATTAATGTGCAGTAAAAACAAAATACAGACCTAAAAATTTCCTTAAAAGTTTCCTAGCGCGGCCTTATTACAAAAATTGTTCACGAGTATATAGAATCTGCAGTTTATACTGGCGATTTTGTCACGTAAAACTCACGCTTGATTTATAAGCTCTTGTTTCACAATATTCATTTTAACTTATTATAAAAACCGACCGGATTCAACTCACGGCATTATCGAGGTATATAAGATTAACGAACATAATCGCACAGATGAAATTGAATGTAAATGTTTAGCGAAGACTGTGGTGCCGACGTAAAGGTCGTCTCTTAAAACATACTTTAAGACCGAGGTTATCGATAAACTACTTCTTGTAATAAGACAGATTGATTATTAGGATCACGACTTAAAATCGGCTTCTCGTTTCAGAATAAAGCTGTAATTTTAATTACAATTATAACTTTGTTGGCTGCGGTGCCGGACAGCAGAATACTAAACTAATTTACTAATTACGTGGTAGAGCCATGCTGTAGTTATATTCGTAGTATAGTTGTGGCACGCATGGGTCGGCTCGACCGGGGAAGTACCACGCTCTCACAGAACAGCAGCGTAAAATAATAATAATAATCATCATTTATTTCAATCCATCAGATCATAGTTACATTTGAAATATAATTTAAATTTTGAATTACATATGAACTAAATTAAAATAAAATTGAATTATATTAAATTAATGTAGTCTTAAAGTATGTTTTAAGAGACGCCCTTTACGTCGGTACCACAGTCTTCGCTAAAAAACACAGCTCAATGCTGCTGTGTTTCGTATGGTGAGTGTAGAGAACCGGAGACCCTTTTTACTGGAAACGAGGCATTCCATCTTAGTCCTCACGGGTGACAATGCATCTGCATTTTGATTTGTAATCGATGGTAGATGTAGATGTCTATGAGCCACAGTAGCCACTTACCATCAGGTGGACTGTGTTCGTTTGTCACCCTATCCTATAAAAAAAACGACTGAAAATCGGCCCCTCAATTCAGAATAAGCCGTCACATCGCATCGCCATCCGTATACCATTAATAACAAAGATCTCAGAACGTGACATTAATCAGAAATTCTAGTTACAATTATAACTTCATTGGCTGCGGTGTCAGAGAGCAGAATACTAAACTAATTACTCGTAACTAATTATTTATTCATAGTTTAATTCAAACGGAACTCGGTTAATGGCTAAATCTGATAATGTCATTAAGTTTTTTTTTTATAAAACTTAAGTGACAAACGAACTTACAACCCACCTGATAGTAAGTGGCTGCTGCGGTTTGTGGACGCCTGCAGACAACTTTATATAAAGCAGGCTACAGATGCGTTGTCACCTCTGAGGACTGAGATGGAATGCCTCACAGCCTGTAATAAAACTGCTTCTCTATACACTTCAGTGGTAGATGATTGATATTCGTACACCGCCTCTACACGTTCAAGAATAGATAAGATTAATTTTTATTCGATTAAAAATATAAATAACACTTATCGAAAGTTATTTTTCACATTTGCAAATAATTCCAAAACACTTCTGTGGTGAAAAAAAAATCAGCGGGACTTTCTTTTCGAGGTAAAATAATTATACAATAAAAAACACAGGTTGTACAATTAATTACAAAACTTATTTCAGAAACAGCTTGAAAGTGATCACCACATTTTCCATGGGTTATTATTAACCATGTTTTGTATTTCAATAACGATTTGCATACACTTTTTGTTTCATAAAAAATGTTTACTTTGTAATACAGACCTATTAATTTTTTGAGACTTTATTATAAAGGATCGCTAGTTTTAAATAAAATAAAACGTTTTGTATTTTATTAATTTTATTCAATTTTATGTGAGCTGCGTTGTAGGTAGGAACGCAGAGATACCTGTTATGTTGTGACAGCGTGAGAGATCACTCCATATTGTTTCGATGGTGTTATAAAATAACCAGAAAAATCTTATGGCTTCGACAGATGGCTATAAAACCGTCTCGAACATATTACCATCATTACCATTACATCATTTAAATGGGATTAGAATCATAGATATGTAAACTAACAGACCGTATACACATAACCGGGTAGAGGCGGTGTAAGAATATTGACTACCCCATATCGTCCCATTGGTTTTGTAGAAGGTCACAGAGGGAAATTAACCGCAGGAGATGGGCAGCAGTGTCTTTTTAATAACAACTAAAAATAAAAATGGTGGCGGTCATTCCGTTTGCCAAGCGTGGCAACTATGGCAAAATCCACCCTATGAGCCAATCTACTTTAGAGCAGTGGAGTTCAGCAGTGGACTTTTATAGCCTGTAATGGATGGATAGACAGATATGCAAACATACACAATTAACCTTACAATACAATCTTTAAAAGCTTATGAATTTAATTCAAAAGGATTTTGGTATTTTAAGCTAAATAATAACCAATTTAATTCGTACTCGTATGTGTACGTAAGTAGCTTAATGAATTTTAAACCGCTAATGAGCTTATGAATCTCTTTTAGCGTGGCACCGATTTGGCGGCGATACTACTCGGTATTTCAAATTAAAATTCATAATTACCAAATCAATGTGGCAAAATCGAAAATTTTTATGAAATTACGTAACTTATTTTATAATATACTTACTTATGATTACATATGGATCTAAGACGTGGTCCTTCACTGCTGGCCGTATGAGGAAGCTCATAATTACTCTCCGTTTCTCTACACTCACCATACGAAACACAGCAGTGTTGAGCTGCTATTTTGCGCTGGTATTCTGTGAGAGCATGGTCCTTCCCTGATCGAGCCGACCTATTCGTGCTACAACTATACTACTATTATAGTTGCAGCATGGCTCTACCACGTGGAGATTACTATTATCTTATAACTGCCTATTGGCTATATCTGCAATTGTATTTGTTGGTGGAGCATATGTGTCGACCTTATGCGGCTCGTAGCTGGAGGGAGAATCGGAGGAGGCTCTCAAGGCTGCGGCCGAAAGCCGTGCAACGTGGGATCCCATTCCCTTAAGGTGACCGGTAGACTCATGACATGCTCTGCGGCCAATTGGACGTGCTGATCATGCAATTGGTGGTGATGCCTTACATTTAAAATAACTAAGTTACTATACAAATACAACGTAAATAATGGTTATTTACTAAGACGATCACGCCATAAATTTATTAAACGACCCATATTATAACATTTAGAAAGATCAATATATGGTTTATATACAGGTCACTTAAATTTGATATATTTATAAATACATAGACATAGATTCCAAAGAAAAACAAAAATAAGTATAGGGGGGGGGTGTTACAATAGGTTATGCTGGGTGCATGCACAATATGAGTCGGATCCAAAAACTAGCCATAAATTACCGAACGACCCGGCGTGAGTGTTTTATGTCTAGTAACGGCTACGGTAAACGCGACGACCAATTGCCTCACAACTCATTGGATTTGAACTTGACTGCGTGAGCCGCAAATGGAACCAAATCGCTCGGTTTGGGCTAACATCAACTATACATTTGGAATTTTATGTGCCGGAACTAAATATATAATGTTGTAAAGTCATGTTAATATCATGAGGAGCGCTTTGAGCTCTTAATAAAACATCAGAGTGAGTATCAGCGCTCCATACCATGTTCATCGGGGACAATATGTGTAAATAATAATTAAAACAGTAATAGCTCATTATTTTCACCTACAGTCTATGAAAGTGCCGTGACAAAATATTTACTTAAAAATTAAATTTAAATATTAAAAAAAATAAAGTTATTATGTATTGTGATGACATAGGCAAAAATTGGGCATGATGTTAAATAAGTGCTTAAAAGGACATCTGGTTAGTAATTATTGCATGCTTGGAACATCCCTTAGTCATTTAATGAATAAAGTTTTAACTAGTAAGTTGTGTCCTAATAGCACATTAATAATTCTTGTTAGGAGAAGGGGCAATGTAAACAAAAATCAATTTAGAATTTTCATAGCACGCTCTTTTGGACCGTTCTTCTGTTTCCTTGGCTCCACTTCGATAGCTTCCAAGTTGAAGAACTTCTTCATCGTAGCTTTCATTGAATTGTTCTGTTGCACTATGACAGTTTGCCCACAGAAAGCAACTGGTTTCTGTTATGAGGAGTGGTATCCTAACTCTGTCGCATATAAGACTTTTCTGGCGGTACGGCTGAGAGTAGACGTGCTATTGTTAGTTAAAGTAATGAAATAAAATATAATACCGAATAAAAGTGTGACTAAGAAATATTTCATCTTTATGAGTGACTGTGTTAAGTGATACAATTGACTGTGGTCATAATATTTGCATACCAAGTGACTAAACAACTGTTTATAACGGACGAACTATTCAAAACAGTTGTAAAATGTCGATACAACGCACACCACCAAAATTCTCGTCCAACCCGAATTTATCTGCATCGGCGGAGGTAGATGATATGTTTGTCAATTTACGTAAGCGTAAGCAACCTGAAGATGATGACATTACTTACCGAATGAAAATATTGGAAGATAAACTCGATAAATTTGATCAAAATATATCTGAGACTATAACCAAGTCCTTACAATTAATTTTGGCAAGTGAATTGTCTAAGATAACAGTGTCATTGGCCACTCTAAATGACACTGTCCATGGCCTGCGCTCCGACAATGCAAGCTTCAAGGAATCCCTCAAGGATATAAACAGCCGCCTATCGGAGATGGAAAAATCGTTCAGTTATAGTAATACACGCCAGGACACCTTCGATGAACAATTACAAACTTTAAAAAATCAAATGCAGCCAGTCAGTGACCTACCTTGTCATATTAAAAAACTTGAAAGCAAGTTAGCAGCTATGGAGCAGCAAGCTCGAGATTGCAATATTGAAATCACTAACTTGCCCGACAGACGTAATGAGAATCTTACAAATATTGTAATGGGCATTGGTACATTTATCAAACAACAAATACTTGCGACCGATATTGTAGCAATTCACCGTGTACCTCACGCAGACCAAAAAGATACCCGACCTAAAAACGTTATTGTTAAACTTACCACCCGGACTCTACGCGATAATATCATAGCTGCTAGTCGTTCTAGTAAGGATCTCAATACTGAAAAGCTGGGAATATCCGGATCACCTCAAAAAATATTTATCAACGAGCATCTAACTATCCAAAACAAGCACTTGTTTCGTGAATGTCGTAACAGAGCCAAATCACAGGATTACAAGTTTGTTTGGATCAAACATGGTGTTATTCTTACACGTAAGACCGAAAATTCTCCAGTGCTGGCAATACGCTCGGAACAGGATCTCATTAAGATTAAGTAACTACTCTTTGGATAGGCTTTTCATTTTTGGTAGGTCAATTTATTGTAAACTACCTACAGTCATATTACTAATTATAACAGTACATAAACGCTATGTTAATTCAATAAACTGGCAGGCTCATAAACGTGTAACTACAATTTCAATAAATAATGGCTATATTTCGGTAACATCGAAATTAAATAATAAATTGTTTGCAAACAAGCACTCTCTTTATAATAATATTAAAATATGTCAGTCTTCAAAGCATAAACATTGCTACTATCTTAACTTGACTATCATATTTCTGTACATTTATTATGGATCCATAATGGGATGGCATTTTTGTTTTATCGTATTAAACTCTCATAACCTTGAAATATCAAATTATACTTCTGGCACTCCGTTTTACACACCACCGTCCATGCGTAACAATAAAATCATTGTTATTTCACACATACGTATTAAATATGCACTTACTATTTTAAATAACGATTTCTTAGTAATATTGTTAATAGTCTACTGTAAAATACGATAACTTAAATAATAACGTACTATCCTTTTATTATCAAAATTGCCGCGGACTGAGAACCAAACTTAATACGATATATATGAATATTTTGATGCATTTCTACGACGTTATTATATTAACCGAGACGTGGTTGCATGCCGACATAGAAAATAACGAATTCATTGACTCCCGTTATGTTGTGTATCGCTGCGATCGCAACCGAACAGCGACTGGCCGCAGAGATGGCGGAGGTGTGTTGGTGGCTGTGTTGCGCTCACTTTGTTCCACGCCTTGCTCGTTGCCCCCCTCTGCTACTCCCCGCAATCTCCCACACGTAATTGAACAAATACTGATACAATTGTCTATAGGTAATATACACTACATTATTGGAGCTGTATATATTCCCCCGAGAGTTGACAGTGATGTATATCTTACCTATTTCGATGCTATGAGGGATTACATACAGGTTATGGGCGTCGATTTCTTTTACATATACGGAGATTTTAATCTACCATATCTTGAATGGCAAATCAACGGCAATCAATCAGACCCCTTAAAAGCGAGTGATGTAGAACCGCCAAGCTCATACTTGTTAAATTTTATGTCCTTGTTAAATTGTAAACAAATCAATATTTTCAAAAATAATAAGAACCGCTTGCTAGACTTATGTATTACTAATACACATAATAGCAAATCCTTTTCAACGCCGGTAACTTTAGTGCCAATAGATATACAGCACCCTCCGTTTTATGTTCTTATGTCACTTGATACTATAGTAAGCAAACAATTAATATGTAAATCACACACTATACATTGCTTTAAAATGCTGATTATGAGAAAATAAATCAAGATCTTCTAGAAATTGATTGGGAAGACCTATTTCAGAACAAACAAGCAAACTACTGTGTAGATATATTTTATGAAAAAATTTACAACATTGTCCGTAAACACATTCCTTCCAAAACTATTTCTAATTCACATTTTCCGGTTTGGTTTAGCTCATCTCTTAAACATATTTTTAAAAACAAAAATTCTGCTTGGGTAAAATGGAAAAAGTATAAAAATCAAGCCGATTACTTAGTATTTTCAATGTACCGTCAAAGATTTAAGAAAGAGGCAAATAAATGTTATAGTAATTATATAAACAAAGTTGAAGATAGCATTAAATATAACATAAAATATTTCTGGACTTATATAAATAACCGCAAAAAACAATGTAATATACCTAGTAGCGTAAAATTTGAAAATTCAAAAGCCGACAACCCTGATGATATTTGCAACATGTTTTCGAGATTCTTCCACTCAATTTTTCAGTCTTCAGACTTGCCGGACTCCTATGATATTACCGATATAAGTGATTTAGACATAAAAACTCACACTGATAATATTATTACTAGTATATTAATAAAAGATGACTATATAATAAGAGAACTCCAATCATTGGACATTACAAAAGGACCCGGTACAGATAATATTCCGCCGATTTTTCTTAGAAGAACGGCTACAATTATCTACAAACCAATTCGGATCTTGTTTAATAAATGCTTGGAAGATGGTGTTTGTCCAAATATATGGAAAATGGCTAGGATTGTTCCAGTACACAAGGGGGGCTCGAAAGAGGACGTGACCAACTACCGTCCTATTTCAATCTTGCCTACTATAGCAAAGCTTCTTGAAAGACTCATACACAGCAACCTTTACTTTTATATCCACAAAAATATTCTCCCACAACAACATGGATTTGTTTTAAAGCGTTCAACCACCACTAACCTTATGGTTTATGCAACTGCATTATTTGAAAACATGGATTCTAATAAACAAACAGACGCTGTGTATACGGATTTTAAGAAAGCCTTTGATCGTATCGACCATAAAATCTTGCTGGAAAAAATTGCCTTCAATGGTATTCGAGGCAACCTGTGGAGATGGTTCAAGTCTTATATAACGAATAGGACCCAAAAAGTGGTAATTAATGGTCATGAATCTGATATCGTCACAGTAACATCAGGTATTCCCCAAGGCTCAATTATTGGACCATTGTTATTTGTAATCTATATAAATGATATAAGCGAATGTTTCAAAAATTGCAATTTCCTTCTATATGCGGATGACCTCAAAATTTACCATACGATTGAAAATATTGGTGACTATTTAAACTTCCAAGAAGATCTGAACCGATTGACAGCTTACTGTGATCGTAATAAATTGAAACTTAGCATAGATAAATGTAAGTGTATAAGTTTTAGCAAGAAAAAAAAGTATAAGTTATTTCGATTATTCTCTGTGCGGCGCAAATCTCGATAGGGTGCATAAAATTAGAGATCTGGGAGTTACATTAGACACTAAGCTAACACTAGAAACTCATATTGATAACATTTGTAATAGAGCATATAAGATGTATGGGTTTGTTATCCGCTCTAGTAACGATTTTAAAAGGCCAAGTACATATATGTATTTATATAAATCTTTAATACGCTCACAAATTGAATATGCCGTCTCAGTGTGGGATCCCTTTTACAAAAAATACTCAGACCGCCTTGAGAGAGTGCAAAAGAACTTCCTACGATGCATGCATTTTAAATGTTTTCATAGTAAATTGTCTTACTCAAAATTGTTACAACAATATAAAATATTTAATCTAAAAACTAGAAGGTTACAATTACAAGTTAAGCTATTGTACGACTTTTGTAATAATAAGTACGATTGTATTGATATAGTGGATAAGTTATGTTTTATAGTACCAGTCAGATCACACACTCGAGCATGCCGTACATATAAACTATTTGCTACACATAAGTCTCGAACTAATGCTGGGAAACGTTCACCATTGACTCGAATGACTGAAGCTTATAACAGATACTTCACTACCCTAGATATATTTGCAACGAATGTTACTTCATTTAAAAAATCAGTTTTCTTTAATCTGTTGCCTGAATTCAACACCACGCAAGTTGATTGAATTAAATCCATGGTCAACTTACTTAAGCGAAATACTAACTTTTAGCACGCAAAATTTTTTATTTATTAATTTGTGGTTAACGGTGTTGGTGTCACAATTATTTCATTATGTGTATATATATTATTTGTAAAAAATATTATTGTGAAACTGTTTGTTGACCCAAATAAATGAAAAAAAAAAAATAAGATGCGATAGCTTGATCTTGTCTTCCTGCTCGTATAGGTATCACAACGTCTCTCACTTGTTTTGTCCTATTAATATCCTGGGGCAGGCATCTTTGTAGACTAACTAGTCTTCCATCTCTCGTAGGTGGAGGCATTCCTGTAAATCTCTTTTCTGTATATTCTGTTTGCTGAACATCAGGCGTTGTACGGTACGAGCATTACGTACTCGTATAGTGTATTCTTCATCGCTATATTTCCCCTCCTATCTTGATGTCGACCCTCTCGGTGTTATCGTGCTTAACAATTTCATTTAGACCTTGTACTCACATATGATCACGTGGGCCGTCTAAGTCTAAGTCTTCGATAATTCTGCCAGTCTTTCGTCGATGAGCGAATTCAAATCCCTCTACAAAATGTAGGAGTGTACAAGCTTGATTGTAAATGTGGTCTCTCATATATAGAGCAAACAAAACGATCTATCAAATCCCGCGTAAAAGAACACATAACTGACGTGAAACACCAATGTTTCGGGAAGTTTGTAGTTTGTGATGGCCCCCGCCATTACATTAGGATTGATAAACCACACATTTCCGCGAAAGAAAATCGATTCTTGCCAAGGATGATACCCGAGGCTATTGAAATTAAAAAACTTCTTAATTTCATTAGAGAGGGAGGCTGGGTACAACCACATGCTTGGGATTCTATAATTAATAAAATTAAAACTAAACCCAAGCATACCACTTCAACACTTCAAGACACAGCAAGTTCATTCTGCGTAGATTGGACCAAAAACAAAAATTATAAATCTAAAGTTACTCCGGGTTCACATCATAGTTACCCTTAGACTTGTTTAGACGCGAGTTACCTTATACGAGCAGAGAAGATGTGGATAATAAAGGTACAGGATGACAGCTGACGTGAAGAACCGCATAATGCACGATAGCACTCCTACAGAGTAGATGGACTGCTGCGCCTACGTGAAAGGAAAGATACATTCTTTCAACATGTACACAAAAAAATTCTTCACGTCGGAGTAGAATTGACTGTGAATGAGATAAGACGATGCTTCTGGATGACAAGAATTTGACCTATAGTAAAAAGCGTGATAAGAGGTTATCCCTATGCAAGAAAATAAAACAAGGCCAATGACCTTATCAGCGGGAGACTTGTCGCATTTGTGCCTTACTAATCACTTTGAGTCAACTGAACTGTGGACGGAAAACGCGACGTGTGTCGGCAGACAAGGAGCTGAAAGAAACGGGACAAGAAGTTTAGGAAGTTCGCGTATATTAACTTTTTTTACATTTCCGAAGTTTCGAACACTTTACAGATCCCATGATCAGGGTGGGGGGACTGAGGTTTTAGACGTCCCATGATCATAGTTAACCAT